TATATATATATATATATATATCCCATTTACGAGGTCTGTTCAGAAAATAACCGAACTCTTTGCATTACGCGCTAATGGAGATTTAGTGATATGCGGTTGGTAGCACTGCGTTGCGCATAACTTCTGTAATCACATGTTCTTGGATTGTTGACATATCAATGTAAGTGATGCTCACTGTTTTTTTCGACTTTGTCGAATTGTGTATTTTGAATTGTTGCCTCAATGTGAAACAGAGAAGACCAACTAATGGTTCTTGCACCAGGACAATGTTCCCGTATACTCAACTCTGTCAGTTCATCAGTTTTACGTCACAAATTAGATTACTGTCCTCCCCAGACCTGGCTCCTAGCGATTTTTTCTTATTTCCGAAATTAAAACCAGTGCTGAATGGACGTCGTTTTGAGACTATTGATCATCAAAACAAATTCGTCACACTTTAAAGGGTATTCGAAATGAAGCTATCGAGAACTGCTTCGCGTAATGGAAACTCCTCTGGGAAAAGTGTGTGAACAGGAAAGGGGAGTACTTTGAAGGAGACAAGGATCAATCATGTATAAAATTAATAATAAAGTTTAAAAAAATAAAGTTCGGTTATTTTCTGAACGGACTTCGTATGTACGCAGATTTATTTGGAACAATTTTGAGGTTAAGTCATATAATAGTGGTGGTGGTACAAAAATATTCATTTGATGTGCTTGTGATGGTCAACAAAAAGAGTATTTTTAAAATATAATTGCAATATTTAGCAATCACTCTAGTGTTCTTTTCCTTTTCCGTCTATTATTGATAACCAGATACTTACATGTATAGGACTGACTGCTTACACTACTAATTAAATATTATATTAAATGGATTTGGATTTGGCAACGTTCATTTTTACTTTGCTTTACTTTTTTATTTATTGAATTAAGTCGAATTAATTTAACACATGGTACCATAAATTCAGGGGTTGGTAGAACATGAAAATTAATTCCTCAGAACCATGAGATCTATTATGTTTTGTTTTTAAAATTGTATGATTTTTTTAAATCATGTGGCCGCATCTTCGTCAAAAAAACAACATAATGCAATGATACACAATTAAGTTTTCGGGAATGTTAAATACGTCAGCAATATTAGTACTCGACGATCTTGTAGAGATCGCTAGTTCAAACTCTTCCAAACGACATTTTAGAATAATTTTCTTGAGGAGATGCCTGTGATATAGAGCATGTAATAAAGTTTTATTTTACACAAATATATACTGTTCAAAAAATGGGAAAACTTTTTAAATGAATGTAAAGCAGCAAATAATTCTGCACATAATTAAGCTGCATTTGCTTAGTAAAATGTAAAATACAAAAATAAAATGATGCATAATTAAAAAAAAGATAATTATACAAAAAAAAACAATGCTACAAACCTTTACAACATTTCTGTGTAAGACATTTATCATTTGGTTTTACATTTACTTTTGATATGTAAAATTTATACAATAAATTGAAAACATACAGTCTGTTTGATTATAAAAGCTCCGAGCTACAGAAAGATTTGAACTAGCAGTTCTAACTACAATTTGAAGCTATTCGAAGGACCTAACAACCCCAATTTCTGGAACTAAAATAAATTTCTTCATTTCGGAGATATTGGCAGCGGGAGTGTTAAATGGCACACCCTGTATACTTTACATGGTGTCCAAAAATGGGTAACTCGGGGCCTTTATAATCAAACAGACTATATATTATTTAGGGATGTTAATTGCATTCCATTATTAGTCAAAAAGTAACCGAGATAAATACGTTTTTTACTGTGGGTGGGATTGTGAGCACCGTATATGATATCAAAATGGTAAAAATAGGAAGTTATTAGGTAGTATTTGCTAAACATATACCTAATATTTAATTTATGCTATCATTCCATCAAATAAACAATAGTGACTTAACATTTACTACGGTGATTGACTCCAAATGGTTTATTTTATTAATTTCTAGCAGTAAAATTGATTGATATAGATAAAAAATGATATAAAAGTACGGGATACCGAGGTAGGTCTCAGTTCGGCTATATCTCTGTCGCTTTGGACGTAAAAAGCTGTAAGTAATTACTTTTGGTTTTCTATTTTGAGAAAAATTAGTTTTCCAATGCAGTTATTACAACCAGTATCTCTACATATGTTTAAATATCAACTTAAGATACTTAAGATGGTCCATCTTTTTCAGAACAAGATGAAGTGCCTTCTTGCAATCACAGTCGTGTTACTGGGTTCATCTCAGGGCTTTTACGTTGAACGAAACCCCCACCAACAACTAGCCATCGCTCGCCAATCCCGGAACCAACCAACGATTTTCCAGTCCCTAGGCGACTTGTTCCACCGAATGCACGCAACCGCCACCAAGAGATGCGCTTACCTCCTAGACGAAGCCTGCAACAACGGGGGCATACCTGGAGCAGGCTCGGACAGCGACTGGCTGACCCAAGGCTTCAACCCCGGAAAGAGATCCTCAAAAGTCTTGGAGGAAGAGCCGGATAACGACTTGAACCCAGAACCAGACGACGACCGGCCGAATGGCGACTTCAACCTCGGCAAGCACTGCGTCAACGCCATGGACGAATCCTGCGACAACGAAGAAATTCCTGGGGCTGGGCCAGAAAGAGATTGGTTGCATAGAGGTTTCCACCCTGGCAAGCCTGGTCTTCATCCCTTCGAAGAAGATAACGATGTTCCTGTAGCCGCGGCTGACGGTGGTTGGTTGAGTAGTTTTAGTATAGTCTGTCCCAACTTCATGGACGTTTGCGGAAATGTAGGCGTTCCAGGATCTGGAGCAGACAGGGATTGGTTGGAAGAGGGGGGAGGTAATCCAGGTAAGAGGCGATTGAATGGTATTCCTGGATCCGGTAAAGACAACGACTGGTTGCATGGGGACAACACGCCTGGCAAACGATGAAGACTATCTAGACTGCTTGTTAGTTATTTTTGGTACGACTGATTTAATTAAATATTCCCAAAATTTATAACGCTACTTCAAATACCAATAAAAACAGATAGGAGCATAATCAAGTTTTTTAATTGTCTCAATAGTGTGGTGATAAAAAAGTTTTAAAGGAAAGGAATCAGTGTCGTACCATTTATTTAAAAATGTCCCCTGTAATGGCATTTGCACGCTACTGGGTTTTTCAATTCAACTGAAATCATACTGACAATAGTCTACAGGGTGTATCTTGAATTTATCGACAATTTTTCATAAAAATTCCTCATTAATTTGCGAGGTAGAAACTAGTGTTCAAATTCGGCCAGTCTTCTAGCAGACACCCTGTATAGTTTGAAGGAAAATTGTTTTATTTCAACCGCTGTTGCAAAACACATGACCATGTGAACGTAACACACTGTCTTCATACAAAGCACGGGTAAATTTCATGTTAATCTTAGGACTTCCGTCACCCGCGGCATTTCAAGAAAAACTGGCTTCAATTGGAGATACTGAGTTACCTTGGGCCAGTTCATTCGATGATGCCATATAACGTCGTTTAATGAGCAGTGTATGTGGTAAATAACGGTCAAAATCTCAGTATTATCGTAAAAAATAGAGCTATATTTTAATTCGAATTTGATTTATTTTCATATTTTTATTTACCAAAATTCGCTTTTCTGGTATACTTTAGTGGTTTTTCTGGTTCCAGAAAAATATCACCCTGTAGATTATTTTAAATGTATATTTTCGTATTTTAAATCAGAGAATCATTTGCTGAATTTCGTCAGAGAAAAAAATCATGATGCTATTACTATAATAATCATATTTTCGCGGATGTTTTGAATTTTACAAAATAATGAAAATGCCAACAAACAAATAAAAATTAAGTTCAATTCAAGGTAAAATATTCACTTGGGTAACAATTTATTATTTTTGAAAATTATTTTTGTGCAGTCGAATCTAATTTTCAAAAAAAAAAATCAAAATTGTTGCCTGTACACTTGACATAACACTATAAACTTTATATAGGTTTCAAAACACCTATATGTGTAGTGATCTGCACATTTGCAGAAAGTTTAAGAACAAACAATATATGTACATATAAATGTCTCTTTCTGTATTATTACTCTTAAACAGACGAAAGTAATGTTTTAAACGATTTATTAGATCTTGAATTACGTGCGTTTTGATATACCGGGTGACTCAACCATAGGGTCACCTTAATAGATCAGATTTTGCCGTATAACATAAGATAAATAACAAATTCCTAAACCCGCAGTTTTTATGAATGATAGACCAGGGCGGATCTGTTTTGAGGTGGATGTGGGAGGGAGCAAGTAATTTTTTTCTGGATTACCTTCAGTACAACTCACATAATAAAAGTGTAGATCCCTAGATCTGGGCGGAACATTTTCAAAATTGCAAAATTGTTTAAAATATTTTTAAAAAATTCCTAGTTTATCTGAGTTTTATACTCATATCTTGGAACCTATGCATTTTTTTTAGAATTGAATTTTGCACAATATGTATACTGTGAGTTAAAAATGTTTAAATTTATTTCCGATGTTGCAAAATAGCAATAATTGATGAAAAAAAGAGCAAAATAATCAAGTTTTTTGGATAATTTTTAAAAAATATTTTAATTGCTCCGAAGGTATTCTAATTTTGATAAGAAAAACTTTAAATTATATATACGTAAACCAATTCTTTCCTTGAAAAATGCAATAGCATAGGGTAAAATATACAGTATATTTAATGCATAAATAATAAACTTTGTTTATAACAAAGTATGTGCAAATTAGACAGTTGGCATTACAATATTCGAATTCTTTGGCTCGCGAGACATCGGATTAAAAAATAAAGATCGAAATTGGTACATTAGAAGCCGAGATAACGCAATTTTTTTCGTACCTTCGCATTCAGTATCGGAGCGAAAGCCCTCTCCCTCACTTTTCGTGTTTTGAGTCACTTATTTTTTTTATCAAGGTCAACATTTTTAATTTTCTTTATTTTAAGCAGACGAAGAAAATTTTACTTATTAGGGGTATTTAAATATCTCTAGTGATTTTTGTTTAAATGACATTTGGAAGCATGGGCGTAGCTACAACTTTTGCTTGGGGTGCAAGCTGGATGCCTCAAAAAAAAGTCTCCGCTCATCAACTGACTAACCAATATCAAATTTGTACACGTTTTGGTTTGATTCTAAAAAAAGGCCGCGCAGTGACCGATAATTTTTCTGCAGAGGGCCGTGCACACCCCTGCTCGCCCTAGCTACGCCCATGTATGGAAGTAACAGCGTCATCGACTTTTTTACAAATTAATTGATACTCAATATGTACAAGTGGTTTATTTTCAAAGTCACATAAAACTTTAATAAATAAATGCTAAAAATGCAATTTTCGGCCGAAATGAGCGAAGAAATACAGTACACGCCATTTAAATTTCAAATGAAACTATTTTTGACCGCGTAACAACTTCAGCACACTCGAAGATAGGGGAGAAACAAAATTATACGAGGATTCGAGTGCTTTGCGCTATAGTTACCTTCACTTATCAATTATGACGACTGCACGCATAATAAATTCATATACTGGCTGCTGGCAAGATATAAAATAAATGTCCCTACCTCGTAATGGCTGAACCTCAAACTGGGATTAGCTTGACCAGAAGTGGTTTTTCTCATCTCGTTAGCGAAACCTTCGCTCTCGATAACCGGAATCTGCGCTTTTACGAGAAAAGTCTTTTCCTGTTCGTCCATCCCAACGGCATTCAGGACCTTACCATGCCGCTTGTTCACGACTGTGTACACTTTGCCTGAAACAAAAATAAAGCCCTCTTAGGAAAACTAAATACTTAAACAGGGCGCAGCACAAAAAGGTATACGTGATTTTATAATATCGGATCGGTTCTGTTATAGCAGTTCGCAGCGAAATTGGCGCGAAACGAAAAATATTTTTTTACAACCGCCGCCGAACTGTATCACAGTCAAAATACGAAACTGACTCGCCAAGCGTCACCGGAAATCGATGTGAGATTTTTAGAGAGGCGTTTCTCAAATACGTGGGTGCGATAGGTATAACGGGTGATCAAAAAACCGGAATTTTGGAATTTTTCACTTCTCCGGTCTGTGTGCCACATTCAACAGGAAACAAACGCGTAAACAAACAATCCGAACAGTCAACCTTCTGTTGGCTAAATACTTTTGTTTGCCACGAAAATCCTCCTATACGGAAGCCACCTAGCGCACTAGATGAAACTGTACGAAATAAATAAGAGTTGCCTTTCACTTTTTCCATTGGTCAGTTATTGGCATTGTAAAATTGGTCAGGAAGACTGATTTTAACTGTTTTTATCGATCGACGATTCGACGGCGCATTGCAAGATCCCGATGTCAACTGTGCCATAGCCCAGCATAGTAAATCACGGTAGATATGAATGAAAACTTTACAATTACAAGAGTGCGCCTCACCATTCATAAATCTCTTGTCTAGGCACCCTGCGTAGACACCGCTCACCTGGATCAACAGGTGTTCGAGAAATTTCAACGACTTCAATTAATTAGTCAGTGTCACTACTTAGTTATATACATTAGGTTTGTCGTCAAAATAATTGTCATTTTGCCGAAAAAAAACTAAAAAAGTAGCACCTAATTTGTAATCTCAGACAGACGCCATAATTTTGATTTACTTAAAAGCCGTTGAGGTTTAAGTAAAAAACTATTCATCGGTACCTAGTTATTGCTAAAAGTATCAAAACGTGAAATTATTTTTTAAATTAAAATAATTATTAATCAAGCAATCACGTTGTCTATGAATGAGATCGATTTACATGGCTACTCGAAACTATTTTATACAATTTGAAATAAGCCATATATTTTCATTGAGTTTGGACACCCTACTTCGCCGTTAAAGTTAGCCCAAACATTTTAGTTACACCCTGTATATTGTTACACTTCGTCATAAAAATTTAAAAACAGCTGTAAAAAAAACTGAAATTAAAAATAGAAAAATGAGCATAAATTTTATATTTTACTGATATTCTCTGTGGTATGTATTAACTTTGATGTATCTGTGTTATTTTCACGGATATTGTTTTTCTATTTAATTGTATTTGATCAATATTTTTAATGACGATATAGTACCAAAAAATGCTTATTTATTTAGCTTTTATCTTGGAGAAATTATGTTAAGCGTCCTCAACAAGTCTTCTATCCATGATTTATTTTAATTTAATTTTATCGTCCTTAATTTTTTTTTGCAAAACTGTTTGAAATATAAGTACATGTTTAATATTCGCCCTGTATTTTGAATTAAGTTCTGATAAATGTTATTCGAAAGCAGCAGAATTTGAGGCTGTTTACAAGGTTCTCTGGCAATATATTTCAAATTCAGTCTACACATGTTCTGAAAATGTAAACAAAGTATACAAATATTTTATAGGGTTAATTTAACGCAGAAAAATTCCTGTCCATTTCTGAGTACGAAGTGTAAACAAGCGTGACTCAGTCGCTAACAATTTTATTCGAGAAAAGAATTGTTTATCGATCAGTCAAAGACGTCTTCTGACGCCAGTTCGGAGCGAGCGAGTTTTACTAGCGCCAAGTGTCTACCTACATACCCAAATCTGCCTTCATTCATGCCTTGGATCGGGCATAGTAGTACGCTCTCTGAAATGATCAAAGTAGCAGTGAGAACAGTCGTTGATCGTAGAGTTACGCAATTATTTTCAACGAAAATTCCACTAGAGTGAGTGTTTTGATATTTTAGCGGTTAATTTGTAAAAATTTTAAATCTCCCGGCAGATATGAGTTTTTGATATTTCCAACCCGGTTTTATTTCGGAAGACGATGTATCTCGACAGTATCAGAATTCTAGTTCTTGTCATTTCTTGTGTTCAAAGTACCAGATTGCCTTTGGAGGTATTCCAACGACATCCGACAGAGCACCATCACCACCACAGGTTAAATAACCACAATTTAGGAGGCACCTTCCACAGGAAGAAGATCCCAGAATACACCACCTTAAAGATCCTGTACCAAGTCGGGGTGAGTATTTTTCAAAACGCCTACCAACCCAGCTCGCAATAAATTACTCGATAAAATAATCGTAAATGTGATAGTGTATGTATCGGAAAAGCAACAAACATCTAGGTTATAATAATTACTAACTGTATTAATAATATTTCCCGTTTATCTCGCTCGCGATAAAAACAAATATATTTAATTCGCTTTATACTCATTGTCAGATATGTATACACTAAAATATATAAATGATCCGTCAAAAAAATCCTTATAAGGTATTTTTTAAATAGAATATCAAAAATACAAAACAGTTTTGCTGAATTCAGTGCAGACGCTATTCAAAACTGTAGCGATTTTACGACAAGGGGGTTGAAATTAATAAAAGTAATGGCAATAAATGTCTGTACATTCTGCTAAATTTATCAATACAGTCAGTACCTCACCATCGCAATTTGATGTGCAACAAAATGGGATGACATGGGAATATTAACTTTTCAAATGTCGTGAGAAGAGTAAAATATGTACTTGAACGGCAAAATTACTGCGGAAACTATATAATATGCCTGCAGTAACTTTGATGCTCAAGTTGGTCTTTTTATTGTCAACGACATTAAAGAATAAAATGATATTTCAAGCATATAGGTACAGGTTGCTTTAATAAAATAAAAAATGCGTTTGCACTTTTCCAAACATTAAAAGTTTAATTAATTTTCAATACAGCATTTTTTAATTCATTAATTAATTTTAGGTGAAACGTTATGCTTACTTCAACATTTCTACAAAAAAAAAAAAAATGGTACAGTGATCTTTGTAGGCAAAGCGAGAATTTTTGGTCAAACTTATTTTAAATTGGGGAAAGAGCAGTTCATGGCATGTTAATTGCTCTGTCAAACAACGACCGTGTTTGAGCCATCCGGTTTTTTTATAGAGACTTGCCTAACCTAATAATTTACCGATAATTATTGAACGTACAAAAAGCCAGATAGCATCCTTCAAGAAAAGGAACTAACTTATTAGACACAATCATACTTATTCGAGTGGAAGTCGAAATACTGTAATTTGAACTTCTATAAACCACAAATATTCTTGATATGTACATGTGGATAAATAGTTTTGTGACAATACATACACAGGGCGTACTTTACCACATGTAGCTATTTATATATTAAATTAAGCTTATTTAATTCCATAAATTAATTGCTTTAAATAAATTCGCTTTACAATGATGAAATATTAGACACAGCCAAGGCGTAAGTTTGCCCACTCCACCCTAAAAAAGGCCCTCTCGTTATCCCTAACTGGTCCCATATTATGTTACGTGGTTTTGACAGGTCGGAAGACAAGGGGGAAGTGTCATTTTTACCTAAACAGGAAGCAATCGAAGGTATTTCAACCCCGATACATCAGTGATTGGAGCATAGGCGTACAGTTCTAAATTATAGAGGGTTCTCGAACAGTAAAAACATGCCTCAGAACGCTTTTCACGTTCATGTCACGTTAGTATACTGTTGGCTTTGTTATCGTGCGGATGTTGCGTTCCTATGAAACTTTTTTGGAAACTCAATATTTACATTACATAACTTAAAACATAACAGAAATTAATTAAAATTCAGTTACAATACGCTGTTGCTCCACAGCCACAAAAAAAAAAGTTGTCTGTACTTTTCATGCGACATATGTTATCCGTAGTATTCTTTGCCTCCTGATCACGAATCCGGTGTCAGAACTGGTGTCTAACCTCAAATAATAGGTCAAATATGGCAAAAATTCACGAAAAAGTGCTAGGAAAATACAAAGAAATTTTTTTTCTTTATTCAAATGTTCATTTATATGGTTAAGACCCTGCTGAACGTGAATCCGCGGTCAGAATTGATGGTTCTTTTTCCAACCTCAAAAAAAAAAACCGGCCAATTAAGGTCAGATATCAGGAATTTTCAAAAAATAACAGATTCGCGCCAAATTTGGTATACGGGGGTTTTCGGAGTCACTGATCACGGATCCGAAGTCAATTTTGCAAATTTCAAGATGGCGGATCCAAGATGGCCGACCAAATTTTCAAAAAATTACACATTCGCGCCAAATTTGGTATACAGGGGTTTTCGTGGTGGCTGATCACGGATCCGTGGTCAATTTTGCAAAATTCAAGATGGCGGATCCAAGATGGCCGACCGAATTTTCAAAAAATAACACATTCTAGCCAAATTTGGTATACGGGGGTTTTCGGGGTCACTGATCACGAATCCGAGATCAGATTTACAAAATTTGTTTTTAAAAATTTTACCAATTACCTATGTACTTTATTACCTGAGATTAAGCAGAAAACCAGTGAATAGATCTTTTACAAAAAAAAACAAGATATAGGTAGCCGAAAAAAAAAAGGTTAAAACATTATTGGGTACTCAGGTTATAACATAAACAAAAATATTACAAAATGACTTTCGCACATCTGACCTCGAATCCGTAATCAGCGACCCCGGAAACCCCCGTATACCAAATTTGGCGCAAATCTGTTATTTTTTGAAAATTCGTGATATTTGACCTTAATATTTTGAGGTTAGGAAAAGAACCATCAATTCTGACCGCGGATTCACGTTCGACGGGGTCTTAACCATATAAACATTTGAATATAGAAAAAATTTTTCCTAGCACTTTTTCGGGAATTTTTGCTATTTTTGACCTGTTTTTTGAGGTTAGGGAATTCCTGTGATATGATAGCTCAATTCTGACACCGGATTCGTGATCAGGAGACAAAATTCGGTACCTACGGTTAGAGATTACTCAGAAAACTAAATCAAATTCTGTCGCGATTAGTTTTTATGAATCGTCAGGTGCAGCCTCGGAAAGGAAGAACCAGCGAGGTCAATAATGCGTTTTCTTTAGAGCAGGGCGAAGGTACACAAATCCAGTTCCGTTTCAGCCAAAAGTATTTATTCTAATTGGTCGGATATCCGACTTGGCCCTTGGTTTTCTTAGAATGGTAACTATTAGAATGGTAAACATAGGTAGTTAAATGCGGATATATATAAGTATTAGAGCTTATGAATTCACTTCCTCTCCATTGAGGTGGGCACAATGCTGCTTAGTAATTTAGGGTCTTTGGATAAGTGGTTGCCGTTTCCTGTTGCTTCCTCTTTCAATGTTGCCCTTTTGTCAGCCCAGCACCTTATTGTACCTCCCAATCTGATTTCTCCCGGAAGGACCAACGACAATTTGAATCAAAACGCGTTTATTATCTGTCTGAGACACTACTACATGCTCCAAATGTGTTGGTCTCTTAGCTTGAACGCTCGAGGTTAAAACAAGGACCACTAGTGCATGTGCAGTATACAGGGTATCCAATAAATAAGTGACAAAGTTTTAACTTGTGATATTTTCCTTATCGTAAACCTGTCAAACCTTGTATCACTGTAATAGTAATTATTATATACCATGCAGAGAAACTCGTCGAGAAAAAAAGGTTAAACAATTTAAAATGTCAGTTAAAAACTTTACAAACTGTAACTGAATGAAATTAAATTTTTAAAACTATTTGGATCTGTTTAGACTAACATAAATTATTTTTTTGGACTAGACATATCAGTCACACCCTGTAAACGACTTTAATGTCGTCGATGCCGAGCAGCTGTCTAATGGAATGCATATATTTGCCGTTTGCAGAAGTGAGGCAATCCCAGTCCAGTTAATAACTTCGAAATCTCGCCTTAAAGCCCATTACGAAATTTTTATCGGCAAACGTAATTTTCCCAGTTGGTGATTTGTCTAGTACGTTATAGGCTTAAAACGGAAGTTTTAAAACCTTATTTATTGACATATTAATATACTATACAAGTGAACATTTAATTAACAATCCCGAGTGTACCGGATGTCTCACAACTCACAGCTATGCGTCGTCCAGTTGATTTCAGCGCGGTTTGGCATTCATTCCAAATCTGACATGTTATTGAAAAGTTGCAACACGCCGGGTAATTGTCAAAACGCTAGGAAATTTCGAAACCGAACACCTCGAGTTGCGCAAGAATTCGCTCCGATTGAATTAATTATATTGCGCGGGAAGAGATACTAATTTTATATTAATTGATGTTATTGGTATGATATTTGCCGAATTTTAGACCACATTTAATCTTCATGGTTTTATATTGATAAATAAATTATTTAACATTGTATACATACAGGGTGTTTTTAAATGCAGTAGCAAAAATGGTACCAGTGAATGTAGAGCCTAAAATAAGAGAATTGAAGTAAAAATACCTTATATGAAAGTTGCAGCTCTGAGGCGACATACCCTCTTAAAGGAGGAACAATACTTTTTATGTGTTCCCACAAAAAGAAATCCGTAGGCGTTAGGTCAGGTGAACGTGCAGGCCAACAAACAAGGGCATCACGACCAATCCAGCGATTCGGGTAATTTAAATTTAACCATTCTCTAACGGCAAGTGTACTATGTGCAGGCGCCCCATCGTGCAGATACCACATCACCTGACGTGTAGCGAGGGGTACATCCTCAAATAATGTTGGAAGATTTTCGTTCAAAAATCTAAGATACTCGGCCACTCCAAGCCTGTGTGGAAGAATAAAAGGACCTACTAGAGTATTTCCTGCAATTTCCATCTAAATGTTTAAACTGAAATTATGTTGACATCTTGAAACAAATATTTCACGAGTATTTTCTTCCGACCATGAATGAACATTATGAAGGTTTACTGCACCTACTCTACGAAAATTTGCTTCATCGGTGAATATCATCGGTATATTCATTAGGATATTTAAGTCATGTCTGGAAATATTAATGTACCATTGAAAAAAATCCACGCGGTTAGGTAAATCAGGATCATTCAATTCTTGCATGGGTTGATGGTGAAAAGGGTATAAAAGACTGTGAGAAACTTGCAGTTGCCTGGACACCAGTCTTGTGCTTGTACCACAGTCTTGTTTTAGATGCTCCAGTATAGCTTCCTCAGTTTCAACAGGTAGAACATTACGCCTTCTTCCGGCATCCTCACGATTGGGCTGAATTTTACCAGTTT